CATTTGAAAGACTAAGTATTATGTGACCCTGTATAACTGCAGCTGCAAGGACCTTTCAAGGCTTGATAAAGCACCCTGGAATTACAGCTCCCACGGTCCTAACACACAGATATCAATCCCCAGATACCTACAAATATACCCACTCACCATCATTGCCGAGACTCTCAGCAACTCCAAATCTCGAATTATAGTACATGAAAACAAGTCCTGGTTGGGCATTGTTTTGTACAGTGAGTTCCTGCTGCACAGCAATGTCAAAGGAAAGCACACGAAAGGAGGACTACAAATGTGGGAGTTGGGTTTCTGACTGAACTGACAGCTGTGGGGGGACGCAGGGGCTCTCAAAGCAGGAAATGGCTTGCCCTCCCACAGTGGGAGATCGCCCCGCCCTGACAACAACCCCCACAGCATCCCGGGTCACCACGGGCGCCTACAGAGGACCGCGCAGCAAACGTGCTCGCGCATGTGACAATAATGTCCAATCTGGCATCACCTCAGCATCTTGAAAATCCAGAAGCCCCGGTGGACTTTCAAGATAAGCATTTAGGTGAATTTAGTGCAGTGTGAGGATTTCTTCATTTAAGGCACAGGAGGAGTCGTCCCATACCAGATGGCGCTGTTTTCCCCGTTCTTTCAGTTTTATATTTAATACAGAGTAGTGATTATATTGAGCTTTTCTTCCCTAAGCCACACCCCCAAAACAGAGGGCGGCTAGTCACAGCGCAGCACCAAACAGAACTGATGTCTGACACCTTAGTGTTGACAACGCGTTGAATTCAAGGATACATTTTATGACTTCTGAACCATTTTTTTATATATACGGTCCATTTTGGTTAAACAATGGGCTTTTCTTTTCCCTCTGTTTCCATTCATGCACCTATTTTCTGTACAGCTTATCCCGTTCAGGGTGACAGGGAGCTTGAGTCTATCCCAGGTCATTCGAGAATGGCAGACAACACCCCGGACTGGTCGCCAGTCAATCAAGTCCCATTTTGAGACAGAGAAGCAGTCACATTCATACGGCCACTGAGTGAGAACCGAAGCCGCGCTGCTTTGGAAGTCAGACCAGTTAACCGGCACTCCATCAGTGAGCGGATCAATTGCTCGTTAGCGCTGAGCTAAATTGACATTATGAAGGGAAAGTAACATGGTTGTTTTTAAACACACAATGTGAAATTCACTTTGATGTTTAGTTTGACAGTCAACTGCAAGTAGCCACAAACAGCAGGAGTGGAAGTTTTTGGAAGAAGTGTTGAACTGCTGCTTCTTGGGAAGTAAGTTGAGTTTATTGGTGAAAGACAGCTTATATCAAGAGATATTTGTGAATTGGCTTACTCATTTCTTCAGGCACTTAACGCAAAAGCCACTTGGAAAAAATGGAATTGAGTAACTTCAACACGCCAATTTTTTTTCAGCGATGCTCCTTGTCCTGAGTAGGACAACCTTGGCCTAAGAGTAGGACAACAAGTACACACGTTACTAGTGAAGCAAAAACGGCTTCATTAGTTCCACTGGTGACATTACAAAATTGTACTGATCGGACACTTTATCAGTAGCACCAGGAGCATTATCAGCTACTCTGCAGTTTTGCCTCACTAGCATTATGTAGTTGTTCTGCCTTTACGCCCAAGTTGTCCTACTAGTGAGGAAAAAGCTTACTTTCACATGTACTTTCAGATGGATACGAAGGATATCGACAATGTACTTGAACAGCTTTTCATAAAGCCGTTTAATGACTTACTGCAGGGGTGTCAAACTCAGGTCCTGGAGGGCCGCTGTCTTGCATGTTTTCCAAATCTCCCTGTTGCAGCACACCTGATTCAAATGAACTGGTTCAATGTCAGGATTCCGCAGAACTTGCTGATGATCTGATCATTGTTTGACTAGTGAGGGGATTGGTACGTCGACCTTAAGGTGGATATCAAGGATATCGAGTCATTGCTAAAAGAGGCTTGCCATGGTTCCGAGCAGCAACTGGCGGGGACAACGAATCCGAGGAATTTTGGTGTCTAATGGACAGTTAGCAGGTATGAGAGAAGACTGTGGCGGTTGGTCTTTTATCAGTTTGTTCATGTAAAGACGCCGTTGGATGGTTGGCAGGTCGGCCTTGGGTTTACGGCTAATGGTGGGATGACACAACAGGATGTGGAACTAACGCCATGTTTGTCAAAGCGCATGAGTATTCTTTGAGCAAACAAACCTCAAGTAGTGTCATGGGACCAGGACGGCGAGTGATTGACGCAATACTGTCGTTGTACTCCATGTTCGTTGTATGAGTTTACACACACGGGACACGTGTGGATATAAACCACTCCTTGATATACGGTATATGATTTTTATTTTTATTTTTTATTGCCGCAAGCTCAGCGGAAGAGATCAGCAAAATAGATGGGAGCGACTGAGTTCACTGAGTCATCCGGTATCTTTTTTTTTTTTTTTATTGATTTATTTGATCTGTAGTTCAGTGGCCTAGTGTTCAGCTCTCCCGGGAAGAAAGTTTCACATTTCCATCTATGTTTGCTGGGACCTTTTCTGTGAAGAGTGTTCATGTTCCTCCTACGCTTGTGTGGGTTTTATCTGGATTTCTCCCCGCAGTTAAAAAAACATGGAAGTTAATTACACTGAAAACACTGTGAGAGAAATAAATCTTGACTTAAAAAAAAAAAAAGACATCCTCATTGTTTCAAGGACATGCACCCTGTTCTGTTGTGGGCCAAAGTGACCCTTTGATGATTTACAAATAAAGAAAATGTATATATTTTTTAAAGTAAAATCGGATTTACCTTCTTTCATTGGGGAAGAAGAAACAAAAGTGCTGATCAATGGAGAAAGTTGGGGGGGAATATGAAAACAAAAATGTCTCTCAGCAGGGTAAAACACTGTTCTGCTAGAACATGTGCATTTTTTTTAAAAACAAGCATCCAGAAACTGCTTTGTGCAGGGCATTGATGATGCTAATTGGAGATTTGTGTGTGTGTGGTTGTGCGTGTGCGTGTATGTGTAGCCAATCACTCATAACCTTTTGGAGGCACCAGGTTATTAGTTGCGGTAGTTAGTTATTATTCAGTTAGCCATTGATTCCGCTAGCTTGGCCTCGCTAGCTAGCTCGATGAGTAAAGCGGACTGATACAGGAAAGGGTATGTTGACGTTTCTCACAGTAAACATAGCTGAACTGAAAAACAAGGAGTGTTTGTTTTATGGAGGAGGAGGATCGATTCCTGTGTGTCATAAAGAGGTATCCATCAGTCACGTACGCAAATGAATACCTGTTATCAAACGACAGAATGTGTATTTTTCCACGTAGGTTGTTATTCCCATAAATCATGCCATATTCCTTTGTAAGAATTGGGATGGATAATATTTTCGGTAAAAGTCACATCTTTTCTTGGAAGTGTCACCAAAAAGTCACCCGGTTACAAATTTCACCCACACAGGTTAACACGGAAGTTGCTTAACTGCATCGTGAAGGGCAATTGTCACTGTATCGTTGTGCAGTATGCGGGGTTCTGCCACAAATTTTCCCAAGTGGCAGTTTGTCGGCAACTAGTTGTGCTGTGATTTGAAATTGGAATCGCAGGTGAATTGTGTTGCAATGTTGTAGATGCTAATCAAAAATGCCGTGTTATAATCCCGGGAGCTTTGACAAAATATTTACACCTCCAGGAACGAGGCGAAATCCAGCCAGCTGGATGCTGCCAAGTTATAGTGTATGTAAATATTGTATAATGTGTTTTACAATAATACCCGAATATATTTCCAATTTTGTACAAACCTGCGGCTTAAAAGCGAAGCGCGAAGTCTCTGTTGCCAAAATACAAACACTCGCCTTTATTTATCACCCGTTTCCTCTCTTTATATTATACTTACGTCATGCAGAAGATTCAGATTCATAAAGATCAAAAGGCAGGGAATCTTTGGTTTAATGGAGTTCCGTTCCCACAGTGGCAACGGAACCAGAATTTGTCCATCAAGTTGGAATGTGCTGTAGTCTGTCAATAATCGATGCTAAAGCAGTGGTAAAGTCAAAATTGCAGAAATTCAGTGGTTCTCAAACTTTACATAGCAAGTACCACGTATAAAAAATATGCTCATCTCTCCAGGTCCCAAGATCATTACCGGCACGAAAATATAGTGGCATGGTTAGCCTGAGTGTTCAGCAAAAACAAGACAAGGGTTTTATTCCTAGAGAGTATACTGTATTCATCTTCCGAAACGCTTTATCCTCACTCGGGTCGCGGGGGGTGCCGGAGCCTATCCCAGCTGTCTTCGGGCAGTAGGTGGGGGACACCCTGAACCGGTTGCCAGCCAATCGCAGAAGAGTATACTGTACACAACATTATCTGATAGGAAGCCATTGACACATTATTCACAGTTTGAAAATTGAAACTGAGTTTGAATGTGGAATAAAACTAATGAAATAGTCATTCATATGTATTGTACATTAAAGTTAAATAAGAACTCTACCAAAAAAAATCAAAGAGGAAAAAAAGTAAATGTACGACCGGGTTAAACATAACTACTGACAGGAATTCTTACACGTTCCACTCGACTCTTGTTACTAGGAAAAAAATCCAAACATCATTAAAAGTATGACTACCATTCTTTGACTATATTCTTCTTGTGCTACATGGCCAACTTTTCTTACGCAAACTACTCCAGTGATTCCCAACTCGTGTGCCTTGAGAAATAATCACGTGTGCTGCGAGACATTTTCCACCGTCACTTGTTACAACAATCAATCCTTGTCAGCAACGCTGACAGGACAATTAAATGCTCTTCCATTAGATGGCATAGTGTACGATGTACTCATGTATCAAGTGATGTCGTTCTTACAACAGAGTCAAGTCATTTACTCTGTTTCATCAACCACTTCGCCTTAGTCAAATGCCAAAGAAAAGGGTGGTGGTGCAATCCGAGCGATTTCAAAGTGTGACGTCACGGTGGAAACCGTCCTAAATTGATGCTTTTTCGTTTGACCTTTTAGGGAGCGTTTCTCCTTTAAGAGGATGCTGGGTGGAGTTTTGAGGACACCAGCGCATTTATGCCGAGGCGTGCTGACGTCACCCAGCCACAATGAGCGCACTTCACACTGTTGTTGACGCGTCATAAATGCACATGGCTCCGTTGCGGATATGAACGAGAGATGGAGCAGAGACTGACAGTCGGTGAGTACCAGACTAGTGGACGTTCGTGCGAGGCTGAATGTGTGAATATTGAGTCGACCGCTGAACAGTCGCCATTCCAATGCGAAGAGGGAAACTGTGATTTTCTTTAATTAGACTTCCTCAAGTAAATTTACGGGGAATAAATGAGCGAGTGACCACAAACTCGAAGGCGTTTTCTCTCCTCCTTGTGCCAATGAACTACGAATGTTCCGTTACGTGTAATTTCAATGTTGTGTGAGTGAGAATGCGCTCTCATTCTAATAATGAGCCGCAGCACAACCGTCTGACGTCCGCTGCACCTCCGCGACCTACCGCTAGGGACGCTAATATATACGGCGTATACATTTCGACACAGAAGGGAACATTCTTGTGTAAAAGTCCTGATTCAGCTCTTAGTGAAAGTAAAAGTACAATCTGAAATGTATTTGTAATGTAATGAAAAACAAAACATTAATAAATTGACACAATGGGGAAAACAAACACTCCATGCAAAATAGTTTTTCTTTCTTATGAGCTTACATAGTGCTTGCATTAAAGACAAGAAGCACGACATTTGCCATGAATCATTCTGATATCTCTTAAAGCCATGGGTGGGAAACATCTTGTTTCATTGAATTTGCCACATCATTGGTTCACGTTTCTCTATGTTGCCACTGACCCTGTTTTTTTTTCTTCACCTTGCATGACCCCAAGATCTTCAAGATAAACAGCCCTTTTTGACAAAATAAGTAGAAAGTACAGACGCACAGAGATCTGTTTGAAAAAAGAGAGTAAGAGTAAAACGTAGCGAGAACAATAGATGCTGAAGTAAATTACAGATACTCTAGAAAGCGCTTTGTTACAGCTGCAGCTGTTGTGAAAGCGCCATATGAGTAAAGATGTATTGTATTGTATACCTGAAAAATCTACTAAAAAATGGACACTCTGTTACTGTAGTGCTGACTGCTGGTTTTCTTTTGGATTGTTTTTTTTTTTTTTTGTTTTGTTTTAATATATTCATGGCCCAGAAGTGTTTTTCAGTTTCACATGTCTACTCCTGACGGAGCTCTCTGTGATGAAATAATCATTGGCCAATGAGAAAAATGAAATACCAAAATAATCCTTTAGTATGACATTGCATCATTGGCAAAATTTATTTTTTCATTTCGTTAGTTAGTTTTGCCCTCCTATTATGTTTGAACAGCCCAGGACGCTGCCAGGGATTTGGAGCTCTGTAAAAAAATATTTTATATAAATATATAAAAATAATAATAACACACACACACACACACACACACACACACACACACACACACACACACACACACACACGCACACACACACACACACACACACACTCTCATCAGAGCATTTTTCTTTTGCTGACTGGTATAGGCAGCAATATCGCTACAGGTCACGAGGTCAAATTGCCCTGAAACGTAACATGTTGAGATGAGGGTTTAAGTATTTTATGGACATTACTTCCACAGATATCAAATTGGTTGTGGGCTCACACCGAAGGTTTCTTTTGGACTTCCCGTTTTCTCCCTGTGTGGGTTCTTTCCTGGTACATTGGCTTTCTTCCGTGTCGCGTTTATTTAATCGACTGTAGAGGGTACAGTGTGCTTATTTGTGGGAAAGTGGCTATTTGAGAGGAGGCCTTTATTTGTACTCCTCCTCGCGTTGGTGCGGAGTGAAACATCCTGATATCAGCTGACTTGCTCCGTAGCTTGTAAGACTATACTGAGCTGTGTTCCGTTTGTCAAGTTTTAATAAGTCCTTTTTTTCTTTTTCAAATCAGTCATCATCTCAAGAATAAACCTTTTTTTCTTTTTTGTTTTTGGTAATACAAAATAAATAAAAACAAAACAAAACAACATGATGAGTGACAGAGGATTTAACACTCTGAGCTACACGGTGGCAAAATCGTGTCCACATAGCTTTTTTTGGATTGAATCATACAATTTGCGTAAAATGGGTTTCATTGCAGACTCCATCCTTGAGAACTAGTTGTTCTCCAACTTAACGTCTACATTGTGTAAAGAAAGTGGAATCTGAAGGGTCCTGGGAGAGGTACTGTACTTGCTGTCCGACTGCAATTTCCGGAGCTCATGCCTTTTGTCCATGTCCCGCTTATTCACTTGGGACGGAAAATCTAACAAATCGGGATGTTCCGTGCCAAACCAAACGATACCTCTCGGTGGAAACATATAGTGGAAGTACATACTTGAGTGGCATCAATGGCCATTCCTGTGGAGGCGGGACATTTCATCGGACCATAAGTATGGCAATTAATTGGCGGAACCGCCTCTCTTTGAGATTGTACGACATGATAAATTCAGTCTGTCAGTCTCATCTTGAGTCAACAAGAAGAAGCTTTATGAGCCTCTCTCTTGACCCTTGAACATAAATACTTGTTTTCAAAAAATGGACGGATAATCACATCACTGTGGCGAGGAGTTTTTAAATTTTTTCTTAACCACACTGTCGTCTCTCAAACCTGTGACCCTACTGCCTGCAAGAATTATGTACACAATTAAAAAAAGTCTAAATATGGTCATCAGATGTGAATAATCCCTGAGCTAAATGTTCAAACAGTGCGTTAGTGTCTTATTTATTTATTTTTTTAATCCAGTATATTTATGAAGTACCGCTCAGTTGTATTAACTGAGCAAGGCGATGACCGATTCATCTGCCGATATTAGTTCTTACGGGCACTCATCCCTCAGGAGTAGAATAAGCTGTTTCCCTTTTGGTTGGTCCTCCGGTTCATATTTGGGCTACGTCTGCCAGTCTCCATGGTGTATCTTCTGTCCTAACCTCATGGGAGAGTTCGCTTGCATTCTCAGGCCTGCTTCACTGCACTCCAAAGTGTCACAAAGGCCCATTTATAGCTGAGAGTGGCTCCATTCATGCGTGCTCAGCCAACTGGCGTACAATTCCTCCATCGCCGAGGCCCACTGGGCGGATTTGATACCACTTTTTTTTTTTGGAAGGATGAAATAAATATCCAAATAGACGCGTCGGACCCTGTTTGGTTGTTTGTCGTATGGAGTTTGTTATGCATGCTCAGCATTGTTTAACCCACTACACCAGTTGGAGAATGAATTAGGGGAGTGTGGGGGGGATGCAGACTAAATCACAAGAGAAAATTATCACAACATTTTTGCCCTCAGGAGCACTCGGATGACAAGACAGCAAAGCAACCGCGCATCGACTGAGGACGGAAATACTTAAATGTGGAATAGAAATGTGAAGTAGGATTAATACTACTGTATATCACAGTATATTTTCACAGAGGGTTGTAAAGTGAGTAGTACCAGAAAAACAAAACAGAGCAGGGTTTCAGCGATTGAAGGAATTGGGTAAAAAAAAAAAAAACAACAACAACAACAAAAATCCTCTCAGTCTGAAATTCTTGTTGCCAGCCAAACGCAGGACACACAAAGACAAGCAACCATTCCCGCTCAGCATTATACACTAGGGCTAATTTAGAGCATTCAATCAACCTACCATGCATGTTTTTGGAATGTGAGGGGAAATCAGAGTACCCGGAGAAAACCCACACAGGCACGGGGAGAACTCTATACCGAAAGGCCTTGGCCTGGAATCGAATCCATGACCTCTGCACTGTGTAGTGGACATGCTCATCAGCCGACATGGCCTTAGTTCTCGAATTAAATTTGTACATTTAATACCATGTATTAAGACGGTTACACAATTAATGGGTGTGAATAAACATCACAATTGTTTGTCTCGCTTTGTGCGGTACTTCTTTTGTTCGTTCCTGTCATTCAGCCTTGCGGGCTTCACTTTTTTTTTTTTTTTAATTGGCCCACTGGGCAGTTACGAATGCTTCCTTGACGTTAGAGCCATTCTCTTGAAACACATTGCTGCGTCTACTACCCGTAAAAAGAAAAAGGGGTCGTTTCATAATTGCTCGTGAATGATTCACATCATGTTTTTGTTTTGAAGCGTTGTGGTTCCACCGGGCCAAGACGACTGCAGTTTATGCTCCCCCCCCCCAACACAAAAAAAAAAAACAACCCCCAAAAGAAAAGAAAAAAAAAAAGAAAACTCCTAATGAAAACACACACTACCGACGAGTGTACTCGTTTTGGGTCAGGAAAAAGATTTTGAGACCGGACGGGAATGTGTGTGCATGCGTGGGGGGGTGGGTCGACGAAGGACTTTGCATGTACCATGTTGAAGCTTTTCACAGAGCATCAGAGGAATACCAGACAATCAGCTACTGTTGTGAGCGCGGATACTGCACGCTCTCATGACCACACAGAGGATGGGAGGGCGGCGAGCGATGCTGCTCGCCCTCCCACGTCTGAACGGGCGCTTGTGCAATTGTCCGCAGGCAGATGATGGCATGAAGCTGACACATGGCTACGATGGATTTGTTTTTGTTGGGACGGGTTCAGTGATTCCCAGCCACTGTGCTGCGGCACATTAGTGTGCCATGAAAGATCGTCGATGTACCGCTGAAATCATTCAATTTCGCACGGTTGTTCTGAGAACGAATTATTCACTTCAAATGAAATAATTGATCTTTCTGTCATTTATCCAGTGGCAGTCCTGACGCCCTCGACGGACCCCTTCCTATAACACCTTACAGAAGGCGTTAACGACAATTTCAAATTGGAGCCCCCCCCCATAAAATAACAACATACTCAGGTCATTAAAATCAAGCTGTGTTCATACATACAGTACAGCCATCCTTTATGTTCAGCATAACCAAATATGCATTTTAAAATGACCTCATTCGATTATATGATTCTCAACTGTATTTCTTGTGCGCTTTAAAACAACCGCCGATGTATACAAAGTGCTGCACATGGAGCAAAAATAATCCATACAACAAACAATAAATGAACGACAAAGACACAAGAGAAAGCACAAAAACAGTCAAACTAAAAAAATCAAGTCTCTTGTGAAGGCAAAAGCCAAAGAATAAAAATTAGTTTTAAGATGAGTTTTAGAGATGGGCAGAGAGGGGGCTTGCCGAGCGTTCAGCGGGAGGTTATTCCAGCTGGGACCAGCAAGGGAAAAGGCTCGATCCCCTCTGAGCCTCCGCTTAGTCCTCGGTACCTCTAATAAGGTCTGGTCTGCAGACCCGAGGCACCGGGCAGGTGTGTAGGGGCGGAGGAGCTTAGAGAGGTAAGGTGGGGCCAGGCCATTTCTAGATTTAAAAACAAATAATAGAATCTTAAAAAGAACTCTCAAATGTATCGGCAGCCAGTGAAGGGATGCCAGAGTCGAAGTTCTCTGCTCCCGCTTACGAGTACCAGTTTAAAAAGGCGAGCGGCAGTATTCTGGACCAACTGGAGACACTCAATGGAGGATTGGCTGACTCCAAAGTAAAGTACATTTCGGTAATCCAGCCGGGATGTGACAAAAACACTCCTACAAATCATAAAGTACCATAATTTCTGGACTATAGACCGCACCTGATTATAAGCCGCACCACTACATTTTTAAAGGAAAAAAATATTTTGTACACACATAAGCCGCACCTGTGTATAAGCCGCAGGTGCCCATATACAGGCGGCCGTTAGAAAAGTCTTTATATAAGCCGCTTCATGAAATAAGCCGCGGAGTTGAAAGCGTGTGACAAGTCGCGGCTTATAGTTCGGAAATTACGGTAGTTTTGCCATTTTTCAACGCTGCACTTTTACTGTATTGATCTGAGAGTTTGAGTCAATTTGCAAATGCGACACGGTCTCGACACACCACACTGGGAGCTTTGTGAATCATTACAGCCAAGGTTTAGCTGACGCGCGTATTAACCTTTTGTTGCCACAGACAAAGTGTGTTGCTTGGTTGCTTACCTTTAATTAAAAAAAACAAAAAAAAAACCTCACCACCACCACCACAGTGGTAATAATTTGAGTAACGGATCAGAAGTAACTCACCAAGGTACAGTCATTGAAATTGAAAGCGTTCCAATCTGGATTGGGGCAGTAACTCTGTTCCTGTTTCGATTCAACAGCAGTGAAGCTGTAATGGGTTAAATGGAGAGACCTGAGTGTTTTTTGCTGAAACAAACCCACTACCTTCCGCAGACCACAACATGAGCGACAACAACTACTGGGGACAGCATGACTGCAGCAGGTACACGAACACGCAGCAAACAAGTCGATTGCAGGCAAATCTGAGTTTTTAATTTTGTTTTGACTTGAGGGTTTTTTTTTTTTTTTTCAATTCCGTTTTCATTTGTTGTTAAGAGAGAGTTTGTTTGTTTTTATTACCGGTCGTTTTGATTTCTCCCAAAAAATGCTTCATTTTGGTTTTGTTTTTATTCGTTTTAGTTGAGGATAAGCGGGATTAGAAAATGGATGGATATATAGTTTTAGTATTAGATTTAGTCTTTTTTTTTTTAAATATCATGTGCAAGATTTAAAATACGCCACCAATTCTCAAACATATTTTTACTACCGTGAGATGTAGTTTCACTTTTCGTTTTTTTTTTTTTTTTTTTGAAAGGATTTTCCAATTTAATTTTTTTTCGGAAACCAATATTAGTTTTTTTTTTAAATCACACTTAGTTTTCGCTATTTTGCTCGTTTAATAACTACAACAACCTTGGTGGATTGCAACCCGCCGCATATCACAGGCTGGAGCACATTTCGTCAACGTGTAATGACTCACTCAGGACGGGTTACGTGCACAAATGATTGACACGCGCACGACTCCTCAACCTACGCTTGCTTTGCAGACTGTGCTTGGGCCTGCCGAGCGGCCACGTGGAACACAACCTGACCGATCAGCAACTAGTCCAAGAATGCAGCGGTAAGTCTCCTTCATATGATGTCTATCCATACCAATATTTTCAATGAATTCATCCTTGTTGAAAACTCACTCGTTCACCGATACGAAGGTTGTTTTTTGCGGAACTGCCAGTTTGACCTCTGAAAAGACGACTTTTTCTTACAGTGTTGGAAGCCTTCCAAATACGCCAATTTTGTTGTTTTCCAAAAGCCTGAGCTGTCTCTTTCATAATCAATGCCCGTCCGTTGAATTGTGTGCACATTACGAAAATATTAATTCACCGATAGTTGAGTGCAGAAACATCATTTTCACCCAAGACTGATAAAATACTTTTTTTGCCCTGTCACCAATGTAACACAGTGTTGCCTCAAGACATGAGGTGAATTCATTCCGCGACCGCGCTTGTAACTCTAAACCCTTGTACCTCAAATCATCTTTCCCTCTTGAAAGGATTGGGAATGCCACGCCAACGCCTCTGCAATAAGTGAAATCTGAGGGTTGCAACTCACGGGTTATTTTTATCACCGATTAATCCAGCAATTTGTTTGTTGATTCGTCAATGAACACAATTAGGGGGAAGAAACAAGTCTTAATTTCCATCACTGTATTGAAAAACAGAAAATGCACAAACATTGACCTTTTCATGCACCCTCTCACCGGATAACACGATAAGCTGTCCACTGTAGTAACCGCTGTCCCTGAAAAGGTTCATGAATTAAAATTCAGTTTCTGGTTGGCTCTGTACCATGTCAGAATATAGACAGCGGTGTTGAGCAGGGTTTTTCCGTGTAAAAGCAGATGTTTGCAAATATTTGGTTTCAATTCGACGCAAAGATAGATAATAAGGCTCCTCTCCTAGAGGATGAGGGACATCCGAGATTAATTACTGTTGAGAGGCTGAATTTCAGAGTTGTTAAATTCAACAAGGTCTCTAAACAGTTAAATGATTATCAAAAGAATTATAATTAATATTTATACTGTCAGGCGGCCCGGTGGTCCGGTGGTGAGTGCGTCGACCTCACTTGTTTAATGCCAGCTCGGGCCTTCCTGTGTGGAGTTTGATTGTTCTCACCATTATACTGTCAGGCGGCCCGGTGGTCCGGTGGTGAGCGCGTCGACCTCACTGTTTAATGCCAGCTCGGGCCTCCCTGTGTGGAGTTTGATTGTTCTCACCGTGCCTGCGTGGGTCTTCACTGGGTACTCCGGTTTCCTCCCACATTCCAAAAACATGCATGGCAGGCTGATTGAACACGTGAAATTGTTCGTCGGTGTGAGTGCGGATGGTTGTTCATCTGTGTGTGCCCTGCAATTGGCTGGCATCCGGTTCAGGGTGTCTCCCGCCTACTACCCGAAGACAGCTGGGATAGGCTCCAGCACCCCCCGCGACCCTTGTGAGGATAAAGCGGATCAGATGATGGATGGATGAATTTAT